TCTTCCGTAACAGTAATGTTTATCGTGAATGTTCCAGGCTGATAAATTATTTTCTTCAAGAATTTTGTTTTTATTAAAATCAATATTTTTTACTAAGGACTATTAATAGCCCTAAATTATACATTGGAAGTCAAACATGAAACTTTTCAATTAGTAACGATAACCGATTCTTAACTCATATATACGAGTTAAAAATCATTAGTGAATCTCAAAGTGGAAGACATTCGTGACAGAATTTATTGCTTTTCCTTTTCTCTCTCTCAATAGTGAGTTTTTATCTGAATGTTCTTTGGTAAACTCTGTAATTATTTTCTTCAAGAATATTGGTTTATAAAAATCAATTGTATTTTAACTAAGGGATAAGAGTTTAATAAATAGCGTTAAATTATACATTGCAAGTCAGACCTCGTGAAAAATCTTTAATTAGTAAGGTAACCGATTGTGTGTTATTTATATAATACGAGATTAAAACCACTGGGGATTCTCAAAGTGGAAGAGACATTCGTGCCAAAGAGAAACAGATTACGCTGATTTTTTTAAACCCTGTATCTCATTTTCATTCAGAATTGAAATACATGTACCTTAACTGTTACCAATGCAAATCAAATCACATCTTTACAATTTCACAAATATATTTTACCTAATTTTAAAATAAGCAATCAAAATCAAAACATTAATGAACACTACTGTTGCTCAAAATTACTAATGACTTATTACTAAGGTAATACAAAATACATATAGGGATCTGTTTTCTAACTTATTTGTAATAAAATTTAATTGAGCTTGTATATTGTTTAACGTCCTCAGAATTTTTCACTCATAAAAAATATCACTGCTACGTCGAAAAAATTAATGATCTTTGTAAGGAAATTAATAAATTGTAACTTGGTTGTTGCAAAATTTAATTCAAAAAAGAAATTAGTTATATTAATGATGAAAGCCTGCATTGTTTAAATATGTTAGTATTGTAATACATTTTTTCTACAGAAAATTAAAGTGTAGAATACTAACATGTAAAATTAAATTGCTGGTCTCATTTTTGTCTATTTTTCCTCACATTTTACAGGTTTCAATAATTAGCAGAAAATTAGTAGCAAACAGTGTGTGTTTTTGTTAAAACATAATGCCCCCTATGGTAACACAATTCTGGAGTGTGACGTAGACTGAAGCGGTATACACTTTTAAGATGTTTAGGCAATTCAAATGAGGTCAAAGGTCACATGATAAAAAATTTCTGTAGCAATGGAAAGGTTTTGTCATAATAAACAGTCATATCAAATATTAAAGCCTTACCTTTGATAGCGCAAAAGTTATGGGCTAGGTTAAAGTTGACAACAGACAGACAGACAAACGAACAGACAGACTGGACAAAAACAATATACCCCCGGGATCTTTCGATCCAGGGCGTAAAAAGGTAATATTAATTTTATAAAAAGTGTCAGCGTACACTAGTCGGTAATATTTTAACAAGAGGCCAATGGGCTTTATAGGTCACCTGAGCATTATGCAACAACTTTCCAGTGATTGAATTTGATTCATGTTTTAATCCAGATGCTATGGCATTCACAATTTTGAAAGAGGCACCACTGATCATCATAACAATGCACTTAGCAGTTGCTTAGTTTGTTTACTTAATAGCCATAGGCAGGGTAGGGGAACAAAAAATGCATTTCAAGTAATCAGTAATATTCAGCATGATCAGTAATGCCCCAATCACACATGAACCCCTGACCCTGAGACCTAGATCCACACATTGCACAATTTTTGAAAAGGCACCCTTGCTTATCAAAAATATTTGATTAATACCAAGGAGCAGATTTCAAACAATTCATCCAGTTTCAGTATACAAGTACAGTCCCCCCTCCTTTATGGTACCCCTGACCCTGGGGCCTTGAAATTCACAATTCTGGAAGATTCAGTTCTCCTTGCTCATCATAACTATATAGGTAGTTCTTCTGCTTAATACCAAAGAGCAGAGAAGAAAACTTTCAAAGATTTAATGTATTTTCACTATATAATCAATAGAGCCCTGCCCTATCACTAGAACCCCTGACCCTAGGGCCATAAAATTCACAATTTTGGAAGAGGTATTCTTGCTCATCATAACTATGTAATTAGTTTATTTCATTCCTAGGAGAAGAAAAGAATTTTTCTTCTCAAAAAATTCATGTATTTTCAATATATAATCAATAGAGCCCTGCCCTAACACCAGAACCCCTGACCCTGGGGCCATAAAATTCACAATTTTGGTAGAGGCACTCTTGCTCATCATAACTATGCACTTAGTTAGTTTATTTAATACCCAGGAGCAGAGAAGAAGATTTTCAAAGAATTCATGTATTTTCAAGATATAATCTATAGACCCCCCCCCTCGGACACCCGAACCCCTGACCATGGGGCCATAAAATTCACAATTTTGGTAGAGGCACTCTTGCTCATCATAACTATGCACTTAGTTAGTTTATTTAACATCCAGGAGCAGAGAAGAAGATTTTCAAAGAATTCATGTATTTTCACTAGATAATCTATAGAGCCCCACCCCCTTACACCAGAACCCCTGATCCTGGGGCCATAAAATTCAAAATTTTGGTAGAGGCACTCTTGCTCATCATAACTATGCACTTAGTTAGTTTATTTAATACCCAGGAGCAGAGAAGAAGATTTTCAAAGAATTCATGTAATTTCACTATTATAATCAATAGAGCCCTGCCCTAACACCAGAACCCCTGACCCTGGGGCCATAAAATTCACAATTTTGGTAGAGGCACTCTTGCTCATCATAACTATGTACTTAGTAGGTTTATTTAATACCCAGTAGCAGAGAACAAGATTTCCAAAGAAATAATGCATTTTCACTATATACTTATTTAGCCCCGCCCTAGCACTAGAACCCATGACCCCGGGGCCATGAATTTCATAATTTTGGTAGAGGACTCAATGCTGATTACAATCATGCAAACAGTTTGACTGCTGGATGTCCAGGAGTAGGGACGAAGATTTTTATTGATTGCACTAATTTTAGTGGTTTTTGCCCCACCCCCAGGCCCCAGGGGGGCAGGGACATGAAATTCACAATTTTTGTTTCCCTTTACCCATAGATGCTATGGGCTAAATGTGGTTGAAATTGGTTCAGTGGTTTCAGAGAAGAAGCTGAAAATGTTCAAATGTTAACGCACGACGCACGACGAACGACGACGAAAAGTGATAGCAATAGGTCACCTGAGTTTACTCAGGTGACCTAAAAATGAGCATTCCAAAGTGCAATGTCTGATTTCAAAATCTCTCAAGGGTCTGGAAGGCAAAAACGTGCGGTAAAAATGAGAGTGTTGCAGAAACTCGTTATTTTTCTCTACATATCGAAAAGGGCATTTAAACACCAGCGTTATGTCTAAATATAGATACAGCTACGTAGAAGACTAAGTTTACGCCAGGTATTTCCTGGTTTGATTTAGCTAAAACACTTCATATTTTACGTTTATATCATGCACAGTTTTTCTATAAGATAGGAACTGATTGGCAACCTTTCAGTGAATATTTTTCTTTTGTATATCACGATCGCCATTTTGCAGGAGAAAGGTTGGAACAATAAAAAGCACAAATAAAAGTAGACACTTTTCATTGAAAACATTGAGATTTCAATCTTCCAATAGTTTCAAAATTATCGATATTCACGGTCAGGGTTGCGGAAGTCAACTCATTTCAGTCTTTTAAATAAACTTTCATGTATTTCTTTCAGCCGCTGCATTAATTAAGGAATGGTTGCCAGTGCCTCATGAAAAATATGCCTACGTGCAAGTCTTGTGTGATTTACACACCATTCATTCACACAAAACTTAAAACATTCCTTATATATACTCAATGTTTGAATTTCTCGGTGCCCTATATCGTTATGTTTTTACCAACGTCTCGGTAGCTTTGTTGTGACGTCATGTTAGTGCGAGTTGCACCGTGTATATTGCTACCCGTGAGTATACACAAAAATGGCATTCAAATAAATTCCACAGTTGGCTTACTAGAAAAACAGCAAATGTAGATATTTAAGAACAAAATATGATCAAACTACTTTCGCTTATGTAATCTGTCCTGAAAATCCCAACAATGCTTGCTATAATAACAAATAAAAATGTGTATAAATTTAACTTGTAAAGATTAACAATAGCAAATTTTTACAAAAAATCCTTAAATAAAGATGCATCAATATCTAGAAGACTGTTTTAAACATCTTTAAATATGCATTTTGCTTTCTGGTCATCTTTAAATATGTGGCCAACAAAATGTAAAAAAAAAAAAATATATACATTCAGCTTCAAAAAATAAAATTTCCTCCAAGCAATTTCATAATTGATATTGTAAATACTTAAGGCTAAACACGATTCGTAAAATTAATGTTTCCGCCATTTAGTTCCGATTCTCGCTATATCTGCAGACCCCTATTTAAAGGACAGGACTTAATCACTGTTCATTGTATTTAGTCGACACCGGTCTACCTGATAATTTGTCTATCACAGGAAAGTTAGGAAAGTATCCTTATTTACGAGTCGTGTTCAGCTTTAATTTAATGGAACTCTTTCATGTTGGAAGTAGGCAACTTCTGTTACAATTTTCTAATGTGTACAAAGTCAGATCCATCAGTATGGAATTAGCAAGGACAAAAGGATGAAATCCTGGTGAAAATGATTGCTTTACATTTGCTGATCGAATGAGCCTAATAAATCTTTGAGAGGAGTTAGTCTTAATGTTATATTTTTATAAAACTCTTTTCATTGAATTGTGATTGAAAATTGTTACTATTGAAATCAGAATAAATACACTTAAATTTCATCATTTGATAACCTACTATTTGGAGATCAACCCTTGGTAGTACATTGTACTTTCGGCTTAATGATTATTCGAATTATTCAATTATCACCACTGAAAACAATGCAATGATGTAAAAAAGCAAAGGTAGTGGTATAAAGTGTTGATGAGTTACTGTTATTTTTTTTTTTGGAATTTTTCAGTTCAAAATATATTGGGGAATTTATTTGGGATATTTGGTTCCTTCCACGGTTGGAGTGGATGGTCACCTTGGGGTAAGTGTTCCTCTACCTGTGGAGTGGGATATCAAACCAGAACAAGATACTGTCACACACATCACCATCATCACACTTGTCCTCCGGGAGGAACTACATACCAAGTTTGCACGACACCATGTGGAGGTTAGGAATTTTCTTTTGTCGCCTATAGTTAATTTATTTTGTAATCTATTAAACATCTAATTCTCGAGTGTGTAAAGCATAAAAGCGCTGTATTTGATAGTTACACCTGAAGACGGATAATTCATCCAGAATGCGCAAGCGGTAAATGATATTCGATTTTAGGAAGTTTCTGTATGATCCAGCGGTCCAGATTTCTTTCTCTACAACTGAATAGAAATTTCTAATTAATCATATATCACTGTAAATTTAAGTGTTTAGTGGATTAGGAGTAGTATTAGTTTTTTTTTTGTTTCTTTGCTTTTCGTTTGTTTTATTAACTTTTTTTCTTTGTCCCGAGGAAGGGATCATTTGTCCAGAAAATTTGACAATTTATATTGTTCGTGTCATTGGTCATTTAAATGCGATATATATTATAGTTCCTCAAATTGTTTACATGTAAACGTTTATCTTAGGTGGTTGGAGTCCGTGGAGTAGTAGTCCGTGTAGTAAATCATGCGGAGGGGGCATATCGACGAAATACCGAACCTGCACCAATCCAATTCCTTTATTTGGAGGACAAGGATGTAGAGGAAAATCGGTGCATATTGTCTCGTGTAACACTCATTCTTGTGCAGGTAGAAATTTACTTTAATTTATGTAAAAGACCTACTAATTTTAACGGATTTGTGATGTACTGTTAGTTATTCCGTGGTTTTGGTTTCACAACACATGAATGAACCTCCTAAGGCGTAGTCTTGCAGTTATCCATATATATAGCATCCATGGGTGAAGGGGAACAATTGTGAAATTCGTGGTTCCTCCCCCCTGAGGGGCGGGGCAACAACCTGTTTGTCATTGTGTCTGTCTATACCAAATTTCCGTCGTTTTTTATCATCAAAATAATCATCGCAGATGCTTAAATTTGTAGCATGCTCTTTGTTCAAGTATGCCGTTCATACGATTGGATGATCCGGATCCATTTTCATACGAATTTGATATTATTAACTTTACTTTGTGTATTCAAATGAGAGCATATATATATATATATAGATAGATAGATATATACATATATATATATATATATATATATATATAGATAGATAGATAGATATATACAAGATAGAGATATATACAATAGAGCACGTTAGCATATGGTCAAAAACTTAGACTGTATTTGTCTTGTGCCGTTGCTTAATTATTAGTTAATGGTGCTTGGTCCAGTTGGCAGAACCCTTCTCGCTGTACTGTTTCATGCGGAGGGGGAGTAAGAATACGAACCAGAAAATGTAACAACCCTTCACCATCTCACGGAGGAAAAACGTGTCGGGGAGTGTCGGTTCATACCGAATCTTGCAACACCCAGTCATGTCCAGGTAATGTTTTTTTTAATATAATGAAACATTGTTTTCAACAATGTTCCAAACAAAACGTAATATCGCGACTACCAATGAGTACCTCGCAGTTATCTAACTAACTACGGCTCTTTTGCGGAGAAGTCGAGAAAAGTCTACATTTCTGGGGGCAAATGACATTGTTTACAATAGTGACAATCGAATGATTCGAACAATTTAATGCCGAAATCATGATGTTTTGCCAGATTTTGAACTTCAAATAGTAGATCGTCAAATAAGGAAAGTTTAGAATATTTTATCTGCTTGAAAATGTGACGATTTTCAAAGAAAATTTAACAAAAAGAGTCCGCTTAATTAAAAATATCGTTACAAATGTGACAATTTAGAATTGGCTCCTCTCAAAAATATATTAGGCTGATTCAGCGATTGTTTAGCGAGGTATTCCACCAGGATGTTTTACATATCTGTCCTTAAAAATGCTACAATGACCGATCTTGCAGTGTATTGAATAGCATATTGCCCCCACCCAACATACGATTCCTACCTCCTTCGCGAAAGAGTTCCTCTAAGTTAAGTAATTGCGATATCAAGTATTAAAAAAATTAAATCAAAGTTTTTTCAAGAATCAGTAAGAAGCAATAATTGAGTTATGTTTATTCATTATATATAGAACAAATCTGAAGCCTCAATATAGATTCTTAATCACATTTTAGGAGATATTGGATGACACCATTGCTATTCATAGAATTGAATGTTATCTTACGGATCGTTGTTTACTTGCGTTTTTCATTTCCGAGATTAAAGAGTGAAGATGTATTCCGAACGCAAATATCGTCAATTACAAAAAACCATTGCTGATTGGTCGACCTGGGTGTACTGAAATCCAATCGGAACTCTGGAAAAAAATCCCGATTTCTATGAACACCGTAGGCCAAGGGTTTAAGAGAAACCCTTGGCTAGCGAAGTATGTGGAGAATAATGTCTGCAGCATTTTTTTTATCTCGGCAATAATCTTAGTAGAATAACTGATTAACTATTTTTATGTGAATGTTCGGCCTTTCTTGTACATGCAGTAAGTTGTTCCATGGATATTTCCGTTTTTTCTTGATCATGTCAAAGGAGCTCGTGTAGAGTGTGACTGGTCGGCAGGGGTTACTTGCCTTCCTTCAAGGCACCTCATCCCACTTGTGATGTTTTGGAGGTCCGTGTTTGCTTCGCTACTATTTTGTTATGTCGAATGGACCAGCCACGTAGCATCGTTTTTGAAATGGGGGGAACCAGAGAAATTTTTTTACTTACTTAAGTTGACAAGCAAAAAAAAAAAAGAAAGGAAAAGGTTGCCTACAGTCGAAAATCATTTTTCGTGGTGGTGGTGGTGGTGGTGGGGACGGGGTGGGAGGGGGGGGGGGCGTCACAAAATTTTTTTTCCAATAACAACTTCTTTCAATACCAATTTCTTGGACCTACAATACTACATTTTCATTATATCACAAATTTATTTCTTTGGGGGGGGGGGGGGGGGGCAACCAGCCTTTCAGTGAACATTTCCTACATTGTAAGTAATGTCGTGAAAAAAAGGGACAGCCCCCCCTACTGTGCTACGTGCCTGTGGACTATTGAACTGATCATTATCTCCACATATTCAATTGAGAAAAGTCATATTCATAACTATGTACAAGGTTAGTGGATAATTAAGTACACAGGAGCAGAAGAAAAGATATTTAAAGCATTAATGCATATTCACTACATAATCAATAGAGCCCGACATAACACCAGGACCCTAATACAGGATTTGGTCTCACCCCTCAGGCCCTAGGGCGAGGAATGGGGCAGGGACCATGAAATTAAAAATTTTTCCTCCTATTAATCCATAGATGTTATATGCCAAATATGGTTGGAATTCGTTGAGCGGTTTCAGAGTGGAAGCTGAAAATGTGCAAATGTTAACACACGAAGGACGAAAAAAAAACAAAAAACAAATAGCAATAACTCATCCGAGTGACTCAGATGACTTAATAATAAATGAAGTTCTTTTTTTTTGTGAAATCAGTAAATTAAAGCAATATTGTGTTCAATCTATATATAAGCGTGCTTA